TTTTGATTTTCATATCCACTTGCGTACAGAGTTCTAGGAAAATACTGTTTTAAACTTAAAAGAGGAATATCCATTCACAGCTAGTGTGATGAGGTGTTTGTTAGTATCGAGAGATTTTAATTTCAAAATACTAAAAACTCAAGTAGATATTCTGCCCATATTTACAGCTAGAATGCTAATAATAACAGCCCTAGCATTTATTCAGAGCTAATCTGTACTAGGTGAATGGTTTTCTTGGCTTTTCTCATTTGGTCCTTACAACAATCCTTTGAAGGAGACAGTGTTGTTACCCACTCACACCTCACGTCAACGACCAGTAATGAGAGGTAGAGGGCCTACCCTGTCACCCAGCTAGAACGCAGAGAGCTCAGCCTTTCGACACTGAGGAGAGGCTCTCACTACACCCCCTGTTCAGGGCCACAGAGGCCCACATCCCAAGGGGAACAGGTTGTCTCAAAAATGACCACTCTGTTCAGCACTTGGGTTATCTTTCCAGCACCCTTCATGGCCCCAGTGTACTCCCCACCTTGCAGATCTAGCTAGAATTGGATTCCACCCACAAAATCAAGTTGTGGCATATTTTTTTGGTCCTCTTCTAGCACAGAGGGCAAACCCTTTAGAAAAACATTTTGTCTTCGGTGTTACTATACCTAAAGTAACAGCTGCAGCTGGCAAGTAAGTTCAAGATGAACAACAATCATGGGTGGGCCATTCTTGTGTGCCAGCGAAGGAGAAATAGGACAAGGCCACAACCACTTCTTGTCACCTTTGACTTGAGAGAATAAATATCCGTTAAACCCTAGTGACTTTAGTTAACATATTACCTCCAGGAGCAAGTACTGTTAATCCAACTTCCTTGTGCTTCCGGTTTCCATGTCTGTCCTGTAAGGATGAACTCCAGGGCGACAGTACTGTCTTCCGCTGCTCTCGCTTTTCGCTCCTCCAGCTGGGTTTTGAGGTGTGAATGCCAGTACTTGGCGTGGAAACATACCATCCTGGCTGATTTTTTAACTCTTTGCGTGAATGAGCTCCTTCTCTCTCTGAGTTCTGTGTATTTCAGGAACCTAGACTGGACTTTCATCTGTGCTTATTTTATGAATCTTCTTAGCATGACACCGTCTCTGCCTTTGACAGTCTGGATTTTTAAGGTCTATTTCTTAATTTCTTTTCCTATGGCACACACTGGAAAACAAAGAAGACTAGAGGCGGTGTCCTGGTGTCATGCTTCTCACCCACACTTTTGTTAAGACCCCACCTCCTCTTCTTGCTTTCTCCCCTCCTTCCCTCAATCATTGTGTCTCTTCTCTCCTTTCAAAAAAGATTTAGAGCAGATTTGCTTTCACTGGGCCCAACAGTTGGGGTGTTTTTTTTAGTGGATTGTGTTTTTTTGGTCAACTGCCTCCAAACTTTGGCCAAGGTCATTGTTTTCCCTTTCTAAACATTTCTAACTACTTTAACAGGACACTTTTATACATAATGAGTTCTTCAAAATAACCATTTATCTCACTCTTTTTCTTCCATGTTTTTAAATTTTTTTTTAGTTTTTATTTTATATTGGAGTATAGTTGTTTAACAATGTTGTGTTAGTTTCAGGTGTACAGCAAAGTGATTCAATTATACATACATTCATTCTTTTTTAGATTCTTTTCCCATTTAGGTTATCCCAGAATACTGAGCGGAGTTCCCTGTGATATACAGTAGGCCCTTGTTGGTTATCTATTTTAAATATAGTAGTGGGTGTATGTCAATCCCAATCTCCCAATTTATCCCTCTCCCCACCTTTCCCCTTCGGTAACCTGAACTTTGTTTTCTAAGTCTGTGAGTCTGTTGTCTTCTGTGTTCTGTTATTCTAAGTACTCAAGGACATTTTCCTCAGAGACCTACTCCCACACAGCACAGGTTAAACATGAGACAACGAGCAATGTGATGGAGGAGATGGTTGTTAAGACTAACTTCTAGGAAACAAAGTCAATTTCATGCCCCTGGCTTCTTTTCTGTTTTCAGATTCTTTATATTTGTCTATTTGTTTAATGTGTTGCTCTGTGGCTTATTCAAGTAATACATGAATATAATTTTACTGTAAAAGATTTTTTTTTTTTTTTTTTTTTGCGGTACACGGGCCTCTTACTGCTGTGGCCTCTCCCGTTGCGGAGCACAGGCTCTGGACGCGCAGGCTCAGCGGCCATGGCTCACGGGCCCAGCCGCTCTGCGGCATGTGGGATCTTCCCGGACCGGGGCACGAACCCGTATCCCCTGCATCGGCAGGTGGACCCCCAACCACTGAGCCACCAGGGAAGCCCTGTAAAAGTTTTAAATAAAGGGATAATCCTCTGTCGCTTTCCTACCCAATCCTACTATATTACCCACCCATTGAAACTCAGATTCAAGAAGAGAAAGCCTCACAGGCTTCGTTATGTATGTGTGTGTGTGTGAGATGCACAGTGGTGGCCATGACTTGGGTTTGTATATGTATCTCTAGTTAAGATGATTTTGGAATGTCCTGGGAACACTTGGAGCCTCTTACGGTCATTCTGGGCTTCAGATCCCTTTTTATATGGATGGGAAATCAATAGAAGCTATTTTCACTTACATAATTTTTGTTTTATATCAACTTCTGGTGCGTTTGTGTGTGTGTGTGTATACGTGTGTGAGCATGCATATACGTGCACCTCTTAACATACTGTGTCTGCCCAATCTTAAATAAATGGGATAGTGACGTATTTGAAACTTTTTTCTTTAGACATGGGGCAAAAATTCAAAGTCAACTTGGATGTTCCTTTATCAGCTGTCAAGAAACATTTCTACTTTGTGCATAGTTGCATAGCTGCAGACTGCCAGCCGGCAGTTCAATTTTGACAGTTACCATGTCTGTAAAGACAGTGTCTATGCTAATACTTGAGGATCTTATTGCCATTTGCCCTTATCAGTTGCATTCAATTAGATGAAAAATGTAAATGTAGATACTATTTATTAAAGGGCTGTAAATCATTAAGCATATTAAAAACAAGGACTCTGTAACTTCAATCAAATGCTCCATAGACTTACACCAGTTGATTTTTGGTTCAGTTTCAAAGAAAATGTACATATCAGAGACCATGTGTGAATTGACAGAACTGTGTTCCCAAAGAGTATGTACTGATGGACTTTTAAAATATTTCGAAGGTAGAAAGTCCCTACAACATTTTATTCTCTGTAAAGACTTCTGCAGAGTTGATGCCTGGACATCAGTGCATTGTAGCAGTAGCGCATAATGGCTGGTACCATGTTCTTTGGAGTCCGCAGTCTTGGGTGAAGCTCCAACTCTCAGGCAAGGTGTTTACGCATTCTGAGCATGGGTTTATTCCTCATGCCTACCTCACAGGATTTTTGTGAAGACTGAGATTTTGCCCTCATCACAGTGCCTAGTATAGAATAAGTTTCAACATGCTAGCTCTCATTATCATTGTTTTCATCTTCATCCCGATGATGGTTATGGTACGTGTATGGTAGGGGAGCCCTGCCCATCCTCATGTTTCAGTTGTATCTAATGATGATACAACTCAAAACCCTGATAACCAATGAGACACAAGGGGCTATTGGGGAAAGCCTACTGGCAATTTGGTTTATATTCCAGAGAATGTATTTCCACTTCTCATTTTATTTCTTCAACACACATCCACATATTTTTCACATTTCTCTTCGCACTTGATTTTAAGCATTTCATTTTTCTCCCGATCCTTTGGGTGGAGAAAAAAGGCAACGAGGCGCTATTTTTGCAGCATAGAGCAGAACCTGGGATAGGTGTCGCCATGCTTCCTTCTGCATCCAGCAATCACATACATCTAACCCAACCATGTTAAATGGATTCAGAAGAAATTGAATCAAAAAAGAATGATACAGGCATTCTTCTGAATTAAAAAAAAAGAAAACCTTTTACCTTGATTATGGTCAAAAGAGAAAAAAATCAAGACCTTTTTAAAAAAGATTCATACCAGTGTTTTCAACAAATTCTCATGGGCTTGTCTGAATAGCCATTGATGCTGCACTTTGTCCCATTTGATTGACACTTTTGAATAATGCTGGTAATGCTAATTATTCTGTGTTTTTCTTAGGAGATTTGCATACTATGATTGGTTGAATAAGGGGCTTCACATTATTTGACTCAAAACAGAGTAGAGGAAGACTTAAAGTACACGTATACATGTGAATGAGTATTTTCTTTCTAAACTGGCCACTTATTCCGATAATGATGCCACTGATCAAGATACATCTCAGAGTCTTTTGATTGGATTCTGAACGGTACTGAATATTGCTTACTGATCCTTTGAGGGTAAATAGGATTTTTCAGAAATTTCCCCACATCTTTCAGAACCAACTCTTATAAATGAGATGAATAACAAATGACATGAAAAACAAATCTAAGTAATATTTTGGGTGCAAGTCGAGACGTTATAGAAAATAATAAGGTTGGTTATCTTATGTGGACAGGTTTCATGTGTGGAAAGTTTCCTTTTTAAACAGAAGGTTTCCAACACATTTGGAAAAGTTGCAACATCATTGCAATGATATTTTAGCCTCCCAGAGTGGTTCCTTTGAAAGAAAAATACTCAACTAGATGTATACATTCTGTTCTGTTTAAAATGGTTTTCTATTCTTATCATTGTACTTAATGTACAATTTATCCCAAAAACAATAAAAATTTTAATTGGTTTGGGACTGTGTTTCTGTTGAAAATATATAGTGAAAATAACTATGAAGACAGTGCTCAGCAGGGTTTGTTATCATTGAATGGTGTTAGCAGTCGGATTTCTCTATTTGAATTGTTTTAATTATTGAAGATTTTTCAGAGTTAAGTATTTATGTAACTCCTGATTGATAACTGACAGATTCCAAGGCGGGGCCACATGTAAAATATAGAAAAGCTTATGTACTATGGCAGGTTTTTTTTACTACAAGTGACTACAACAGTTGTCACCGCTCCCTTAACCCATTCACACTGACGCCATTGATTTGTTTTCCAGCGATGGCAAGCCGGCAGGTGGATATAGCGACTCAGGGCTGGTTCATTGGTCTAATGTGTGCTGTCGCTCTCCTGATCTTAATTTTGCTGATTGTTTGCTTCATCAGAAGAAACAAAGGTGGTAAATATCCAGGTAAGAAAGAAAGACTGAAATTGCTGTATAATGCTGCATGATGATCCATTAAACTAAAAAGAAATCATGAGAGTAATCACAGAGATTGCAATAAGTGTATCCTCCCAAGAGCCATACATTTGGACTTTCTGTTCAAACAGTTTTTGATCCCGTTGTATGTAATGGAAGACTCAACCTTGCCAAGGATCAGAAGACACTTGGGGGAGCAGATGAATCAGTCCTCTGACGTTCTTAGTGACTCTGCTTCCTTAGGCTTTACATGAGTCATAGGTGCTGAAATAGCACCTAAAACCAACAGGCAGAGGGAGAAGGTACCTCAAGTTTTCCAGGGGAAGTGATGCATGAACTGGATCTTGGTATCATGATGTGTACTGTTGCTTTCCCTATATGGTTAATGTTTTGTTCAATTTAGTGGATCCAGTGAATTTCTATTTTCTTTACCTGGCCATTTCCCCTCCAGTGGCAGAGAAAAAAATCTACAAAAAATTAGATTTACAAAAACGATTTGTAACCATGAATATAGTTAATAGATAGATTGGTAAAATAAAGGGAAATCTTAGAAGCTTCAGACTTATTCCTTTAGCAGGTGAGTAAGAGACTTGTGCCGAAATGCTTTTTTTTTTTTTTTCTGCGGTATGCGGGCCTCTCACTGTTGTGGCCTCTCCGGTTGCGGAGCACAGGCTCCGGACGCGCAGGCTCAGCAGCCATGGCTCACGGGCCCAGCCGCTCCGCGGCATATGGGATCTTCCCGGACCGGGACACGAACCCATGTCCCCTGCATCGGCAGGCGGACTCTCAACCACTGCGCCACCAGGGAAGCCCCCAAAATGCTTTTTATGTGAAGTCAACTTTGTATGTCAATTAGTTGTTCATTCTACAAATTTACCTCCAAGAGACTAGAACATCAAAATATATGCATAGGGGGTTCCCTGGTTGCATAGTGGTTAGGATTCCGGGCTTTCACTGCCGTGGCCCGGGTTCAATCCCTGGTCAGGGAACTAAGATCTGCAAGCCACATGGCAAGTAAATAAATAAATAGCCACATGATACATCTGGTTGTATAACTTTATGGTGTATAGAATTATTTCCCACTGCTGTATATCTCATAGAGTGCACTCCTAAAAACGTTGAATAAGGAAAGACAGGATCAATAGATAATAATGTCATTTTGGAATTTTTTTTTAGTTAAAGAAAAGGAAGATGCCCATGCGGATCCTGAAATCCAACCTATGAAGGAAGATGACGGCACTTTTGGAGAATACAGGTGAGCCCCTGCTTCTCAGCCACCCTTCATCCTCCCTGCCTTGAACAGACACCACACTCAGTCTCCTTAGAATGGGATTCAGCCAGGAATGCACTCTGCCTGGGATTTCCTATTTATCTCAAAAATTAGTTTAGAAACACTTGCATGTCTAAATGTTTACACACCCCGCACAGTTAAAATAATCTCACTTTCATTAAAAAATAAATTTCCATCTTAGTGGTAGGTTTGGAGATGGAATATCTTCCACTCTGTCCTATTTTCCAGAGACCCTTGCTGTAACTGATCAACATAGAAAAGCTGGTGTGTGATAATAAGAGTTCAAACAACAATAAAGACCCTACAAACCTGCATTGTAAAGCAAACAAACTATCCTTGTCATTCTCTAAGCAGTGCTTTTGTAAAATTTATGTCACTTTTTCATCTTGGATTTGAAGCCTTTTTTCCAAAACAGGTACCTGTACCCCCTCCTATTAATCATGAAATGATGACCAGGTTGTTTTAGAAGCCGTTAATTATTAAGAAATATCACAGCCCTGGAGGCAGGGTATTAACTCACAGGATTTTGCTAAAACATTCCTGGCTTGGCTCTGTCTTTAAGGACAAATTTAATGTAACCTGTGTGCTAAATACTTTTTTTAAAAAAAAAAGGAAGAAAGAAACTGTTTAAACAAAGATATTCTTGCCTAGGGGGTATAGGTCTTTTTAAAGAGAGATAAGTGGTTACTTTAGATATGTTCAAAAACAAAAACAAAAGATATATTTATTCATTTAAAAGATTGGGATTTTGGTGTTCCAAAAGAATACATCTATTAATCAATGCCTTTGCACAGTGTTCTTTCTTTCTATAAGCCTCTTGTTTATATAAAGGATAATCTTTTAAATATGCGCTGAGCCGGTACTGAGGCTTTTGTTCATATCCATTATTCAGTGATCAACTTGTAAAATAAACCCTAATGATATTCATTATATCCAAAGAAATGCATAATCAAAACAAGAGCAGAAATGAATGAAATTGATGACAGATGCAAGAGTTTATTAATAATGTTAGCTGCTGGTACTTTGAAAAGATGATAAAAATTTTTTGCTGGAAGAAAAGGCTTTTAGGTGAAATAAAATATGTCACTATTGTGATTGCCACATGACATTTACAAATAACATATGTGTCTTAATTTTCACCTGTCTCTAGAGCTCATTTTTGGTGTTTCCATGTCAATATCACAAGGGGCAAAATAATGCCAAGGATAAGAAATATGAGAACTGATTGAGAAAAGCTGTGTATTTTTTTACAAAATTAGATTCATGCCAGTCTCCACGCAGATACAAGTGTTTTTCCTATATATCTTGGCACCTCAGCTTTCATTCTGATCCCCTTTTCAGAGGAGATGACTGTGATTTTTAAAACTCTTCAGAATTCTGTATCTTAGGATACAGAAAAACATCTATGAGGGTTGTCTTGATGTCAGATGTTGACTCTGAGACTGAAAGGGTATGAAAACCTCATCAGCATCCCCACCTGTCCACCCACAAGGTTGTATAGCGCATTAAAGCAGCCTGCAGATGGCCACAGCCTAGGGTTGCCGGGCCTTAGGTTGGGTGAGTTGAAACCTTTGCTGATTTCATTCATTCTTCTACACATTTCTCCTGTAGAGCAGGGGAGCTCATAATTACTAAATAACGTGTTATTTTTAGTGTTCCTGTGACTAGAATTCTACCCAGGATATGCACACCACTCCCTCATTTGTAGTGCGAAAGCTGGATCTTTAATATAACCTGAAAATATCACATATTAGCATGAACTGAAAACAAACCATTGCACTCCATACAGAAACATGGTGATGGGTTTCTGTTCTGCATTATCATGCCCGAGTGAATCTGGCAATGTACTGCTTATTCCATGCGTCTCAAATGTCAGCTTGCTCTTAGAGTGGTGTGAAACCGTGATCTGATGCGATATGACTTTCTCGGAGTCCCTCTGCTGCCTCCTCCATTAAAACGTGATTGAAATTGAAGCTGAATGTGAACTCATCTGGAATCAAGAGACTTAGTTTTACTGTCAACTCAGCCACTACCCTTGATTTCTTTAGATATGGCGTTTGATCTGTCTCATTTTTTCATCTATAAAACGATAGAGTTGTCGAAGTACGAGATGATCTCCGAAGAGTTCTAGCTCTATGATTTCTGTGCTCCTTTGCAAACTGTCTGCTAACGAGTTTTTTTTTTTTTGGCGATACGCGGGCCTCTCACCGCCGTGGCCTCTCCCGTTGCGGAGCACAGGCTCCGGACGCGCAGGCTCAGCGGCCACGGCTCACGGGCCCAGCCGCTCCGCGGCATGTGGGATCTTCCCGGACCGGGGCACAAACCCGCGTCCCCTACATCGGCAGGCGGACTCCCAACCACTGCTCCACCAGGGAAGCCCCTGCTAACGAGTTTTAATGTGATTCGGAGTTTCAGAGCAGTACACGGCAAATATTTTGTTACTGGCCTCATTATTACTGTGTTTACATTTATTTGGTCATATTTATTTGGTGTTAATTCACATGTGAGATGTTTGTGAAGCATTTTCATATGGCTGTCTTTAGCTTGTGCCTTGAGTTTCTCATAAGAGAAAGATTTTTCCTTGGGCTTACTGAGGACACACACATTGGTTCGTGTGTGAAGAAAAAAAAAACCATGTTATCCCATTGATCTGGGAGTTGCCAAAGGAAATAAGGTTCTGACGGGTGTCTTAAACCTAAAACACAACTCAGTGACTTTTTTTCACTGAAGCTGAAAATTCATAAGGACAGTGTCACAAGTGAAATCACTTCTGAAAACACCCAGCCACCCTTTGCTACAGAGGTGGCTTCGTCCTGTGACTTCCTGACATGACCTCAGAATTTTTTCCCTTTGGTTTCTTTTCTACTGAAAAAACGAAAAGACCTTTCGTTTCATAGATGTCATAATGAATGAAAATGGTTCCAACTGTTTATTACAGAATTTTTTTAATAATACATTGAAATGTCACTCTTCTCCCTCAATCACAAGAGTCCCTTCTCTGCTTTGTACCTTCTAGAAATTTTGAGTTCTATATTATTTATTGATTCTTATTCTTTTTCATTCTGAAAATAAATTAATATGCTGATCACACACAGACACACAAAATCAGGGCTATTGCCTAAATGTAAATGAATTCTGTTGATGATTTGCTCGTTCTCAGGCTTGAAGATGAAACCATTTCTACATGGTTGGCTCTGAGCCAGCAGGTATTTCATAGTGCAAAGAGGGATGGAACTTCAGTGGCCAAATTTGATGTTTTGTTCATGTGCTCTAATCTTGTACCCTCACTCCAACACCCACCCCCAAGCAGTCACCCTCTGGTGGAAGCCTGCAGCTTTCTTTGTTTGTTTCTTTAATTATACAGAGAGTAGGATCTGCACCCTTACTAGCATATAGAAAAATCAGAGAAACAATGCAACCAACCGTGTAAGTATTTTTTTATTCTTCAGATCCATTCCTTTAAAAACCAGAATGAACATAGGTCATAAGCCATATGACCATGGTACTTGAATTCATACCATAAATGGAGGCTCTTGGCATGGGAAGCTTGTCACATGAACTTGACCCTGCTGCAAGCATGTTAACCCGTGCTCGTAAGGCCTGGATGATGTGAAGATGTGTTGCATTTGTTAGATACTTCAGGTTTATTCTGCTCACAGACATAAACTGATATGTGAGCAGTATAAATAATGACAGACTTTTACAGGGAGTGTTTGGGTCGTCAGTGTCAAAAAAAAAACCTGCAGTATGGTTTTGCCATGGTAAGATGGTGACTACAGGAAATTCAGACCCAATGATCACAGATGTATCCATCGTTGCCACATTTTACTCAGCAGACATTCAATGGATACCTTCTGTGTGCACAATTCTGAACAAAGTGCTGCTGAGAAAAAGTGAACTCCCTAAAATTCATTCTTTAGGGTAAGGGAAAGGAAGGAGTATGTTCTGATGCTTTGTCTCACATCATAAAATTGATGAAGGGCTTCCCTAGTGGTGCAGTGGTTGAGAGTCCGCCTGCCGATGCAGGGGACACGGGTTCGTGCCCTGGTCCGGGAGGATCCCACGTGCCGCGGAGCGGCTGGGCCCATGAGCCGTGGCCACTGAACCTGTGCGTGCGGAGCCTGTGCTCCGCAACGGGAGAGGCCACACCAGTGAGAGGCCCGCGTACCACAAAAAAAAAAAAAAAATTGATGAAGAAGAAATGAAAAACATGTTAAAGTTAGAATTTTGAAGAATTTCCAAAATGCCCACAGCCTCTTTTATTGTTATTTTACAATGAATTCATTCAACCAGTATTTATTGAGTGCCTGCTGTATGCTAGGCTATGGGGATATTAAAACCAATAGAATGTTATCTCACTAGTTTATAGTCTAGTGAGGGATGCAGGGAGGTGAAAGAACAATCTGAGCGTAGTGTGAAGAGTGCTGTGAAAGGGAAGGGATACTGCTGAGGCACCAAGGGGACAGGGGCAGGAAGCCAAAGCCAAGCGCATGGCCTTGAAGGAGGTGGTACAAGAAATCTTCCCAGAGGCAGTAATGCAGGAGCTGAGTTTTGAACATTCCTTTCATGGCACAACTTATAGCAATGAATAAAGATAATCGTGGATGTAAGTATCAAAAAAATATATTTTATGGCTGTATATACTATTTTATGACTCTTTTATTACTTATTTTGAAATTTGTTCAATCTTTGACATTCTAGGCTAAGAACATCTGACACCTCCTGTCCTTAAAAAATTCTTAGAAAAATGTAGATTAATTTTTTTTAAGCTTTGAATACTGTATAGCTAAATAGGGATGTGACTATTCAATCATCTTCTGTAACTTCTAAATTCCTCTCATTTGGGAAACTATCCTTTCACACTTAAACTTGACCAAGCAACTTCCCTTGGCACAATGTCAAAAGTAGTTGACTTACTCTTTCATTTGAAAATTCTCTTTCATTTGAAAATTCACCTTTGAGTT